GATATTTCCTACAACAAATTAAGAATCAGAATATTGAAAACTATTGTAATTTTTCTCAGTGACTTTATGAAATCTCTCTTCTACACTTGGCCCCAACATTGACCAAAGAGCATTATGATTTGGCAGGGGGTTGAGATGGAAGAAAACTGACAATGATGTTCTGGCAGTATTGAATGTCATCTGAGCCCCTGTGCTCCTGGGAAGCAGCGAAGGTTGAGAAAGCCTCCCTCCATTGTGTGTTCTGAGAAATGACCACCCTGCTCTCATATATCCCCAGATAGGACCCACCTCTACCCTTCCTCAGTGAATGTGACTTACTTGCTTACCTGCGTCTTTGAAACTCTTAGCTCCTTTTTCTTTCCTTTCTTTTCCTTTTCCTCATTAATGAACAACTTTCCTATTCCAATAGCCTGAATAAAGTCATCTCCATAAATGTACAGTGTGTTTTGTCTTTCACAGTTTCTTTAAGAGAGAAAAAAAATTTAAACTCTTTGTTAACTACAGGGGAGTCAAATTGCAATTGGAAAGTGGTCTGATTTTGAAATTAAGCAGGACATTAGAGCATGCTAGAGTGTTTCAAAGCAGTGTTTACAGGGGAAGAGTTGGTGGCTGCATTCCATAAATGAGGTAGTTGCAGTGTAACATTGACTGCTTTGCCTAAGGCCTTGACAGGAAATAACAGCAGCACCAGGTACGGCATTGTAGCTGAAATAGCAATTTCCCTACCACCTCTTTCTCTTGCTTCTTTGAGGTTTGATCCCATCAGAATTTTGACCTTAACAGTGATTATAGAATTAGATATAATTCCTTTCCTCATTAATGTCTATGTTAAAAATTATATCTGTGCATATATGGATGTGCGTATGTATGTGTGTGAGTGATTTGAACAGGCTTATGAGTGACACAATAAGGAATGATAGACCTTACTCATGAGGACTAACCCATGTGCAAGAATTAAGCCGATGTGGTCACAAACTATAATTTTGTGGCAACTTATATGCAAATATTTGCAATCCCAGTTGCTCACTTACAAAGATGGTAAAGGCTTTTGGTGGTAATAGTGGTGATGAAAGGAAGCAGGCTTTCAATATGTAGGACTGCTTTAATATAAATATTTTATAGAATGTCAAAACTTTCATTACAGAAGGGAATGCCAGCAGGTATATGTAAGAAGTTTCTGCTTTGTAGGGAAAAATGAACGAAAAATAAAAAAGTTTCTTCAGTTACAGTAATCTATACCCCAGGGCAGACAGGTGAATAAGTCTGATGTGGCAGGTGCTCCTAGCAAATGGATTCTTGTAAAGAGAATAAGTATTGAAATTTGAATATGGCTAGAAATTTTATTTGTTTCTAAAATAATTTTACTTCTAAATTTTCTTTTTTTTTTTTTTTTCCCCTTTTTGTCTTTTTTTTTCGTGTCCGGCAACGGATCGCAACCCTCAGTGTCGCGCCCATACCGGACCGGGACCGGCAACGGGATTGCAAACCTCGGTGCTGCGCCAGCACCTCGCTCAGCCAGTGAGCGGGAACCGGTCTGTATGTGGGATCCGAACCCTCGGCGGGAGCGCCACCATGCTCCCAAGCAGTGCACCATAGCAGTGCGCCACCGGGCCGGCCCCTAAATTTTCTTTATGTTACTAATTGCAACCCAATATAATTGCACACAAAAGGAAATAACGCTAATGTCTCACAGGTGGAAATGGGTTCAGTAAACTGTGGTGAGCCTATTCAGTGGACTACTCTGAGGGACATAAAAATTAGTTTGCAGGGAAAAAAAGGCATAGAGAGTTGTTTATAATCCAGAGATAAAAGTCTGGCTACAGATGGCACAATTTAGGAACATTCCCCAACAGAGTATAAAGTCCAGGAACCATATCTATCTTTCATTACTGTATCCTCAGCAGACGGCACAGTGTTTGATACAATATAAGTGCTTAAATTAGTAAATAAAAGTATATACAAAATGGTACCATTAGAAAAAATATAAACTATGCATAGAAAACCTCTAAGAATATATGTTAAAATGTTAAATGTTTAATTCTGGGTGGATAATTTTTTGTTTTGTTTTGTTTTTGTTTCTTTTTCCTAATTGGTATTTAAAATTTTTTTTTTAGAATGAAACAGTATGAGCGTACTTCAAAAATGTGTGGAAAAATAGAATTAAAAGATGATACAAACCTTTCCCTGAATTTTTGGTAGCACCCTCGCATTCTTTTATAATCAGAAACAAACAAACAAACAAAAAAACAATAAAACAAAGTTAAATTGTAACTTCTCATAGATTTCCCAGAGCAGTCCCTATAAAATAGCCCATTTCTATATTTAGGCAGTTTACAGAGCTGGCTGGCTTTTTCTTAATCTTAGAAAGCAGATTATTTTCTTAAATCCTCACATTTTATTCTGGCTTATCCCTCAGTGAACCATCGTGCACAGCCTGTTCAGGATTGTAATCAGTAAATGAAGTGAAAATCAAAATGAGGTAACTATTGTATGCTGTCTGCCACTCATATATTTTTAGGTAATTGTGGTTTCATTCTTCTTGAAGTAAGAACTGAACCAGAAATCTTTTTGCTCCCTAGTAGGTACGAAGCTAACAGAAACAGCTCTGTCTTCACAGTCTCCACAAGCCACCAGTACCAGAAGAAAACTGGCTAAAATCCTAGGAGCTCCTTCTGAATGCTCTTTCTTATAATTCTCTTGAGCAGTAAACATATTTTATTTCTTGGTGTTTGACATATATTATTGAAGAATGCAATGCTTGTATTTCTAGACACTAAAGAAAGTTATATTTGATTGGCCAACAATTGTGCATTAATGCTTCTCAGGAGGAATGCTGAGTGCACGTGTAGTGTGATAGAGATCTATTTTTCTAGCCTAGACTGCCAAATGTATTCAGTGATGCATTTGATTGAAAACAGTGAAATAAATATGCCCAGGGGAATCATTAACCATCTTGAATATTACAGTTCAAAATATATGAAAAACAGCAATGTCCGAAGACCCAGAGAATTATAAGAAGAAAAGTATAGATTTGTTATGTTTGTTTGTAGATCTGTCTTTTTTGTTTATTTTGTTAACATCAATTATACGGTTTGTCAAACTCAGAAACATAATCCAACTGTAGTACTTTGCTAAGTAATAGCTACAGATTCCCAGCCACCTATGATATTAATCTGTGCTGTATTTTGAAAATATAATCCTACCAAAATACTACCCCTGTTAGGTCAAGTGGAAAAACCATTAAAGAGTTTTTAAAATTTATTTACGATCTATCTACAATTCAATGAGGTTTTAATAAATTATATGAGCTGAACTTTGAATAGTATCCTAGAAAAATGTTATCCTTGGGAAGTTTTGAAAGAATTGGAAAAATTGTATCAAGAAAATGGAATGAATTATATCCCAGGATTAGCCTGCCCATGACAGAGGTCATAACAGAGAAATAATTTCCCCTTTAATCTTTTGCATCCAGGAGGAAGATGATTTTCTAGAGTCCTATGGGATTCACAACAAAGAGCCAAAACCAATGTTACCAGTAAACAAGTAGGAAGTTATTTGTCTTTTTACCTGGAATAAAATAATTCAAATAGTTTTGGTTTAATTTATGGCAAAATAAAAGGGAATACATACATTGAAAGTAATACACCGTTTAATTTATTCTTAATTCAATGCCAGAAATCGGAATAGAAGGGAAATATTTAATACTTTAAATATAAAATTTGGAATATTTGATAGAACTTTTTTCTAAATTGAATCTTTTCCACAAAATGCTAAACACAAAAGCATGCACACTGTTGATCTGCAAAATGAATGCTGGTCATTGTGGGTTTTCCTACCTACAAACATTTATTTAATCCCCACTTGACCTGATTTACTTGGTTCAACCAAAGTTACTAAAGATTGCTGTAGGATACATAAATTTCATTCATCTTTTTCACTTAATAGGATATCTGGAAGCATCTGCAGTTGTTTATAAATTGAGAGTCCACATCCCTTCATGGATGTTCTCTTCCTTTTCAGAACTCACACAGCACAGCATATGTATCTCTATTTTAACATCCATTATGTTATATTTACCAGTTCACTGTTCCTGCTAGGCTGTGCACTCAGGAATGGCAGGAAATTCATTTCATATTTGTTTTTCAGTAGATGACACTTAATAAAGTGCCTGGCATTTGTAGGTGATCAATAAACGTTTGCTGACTAAAGCAATTAATTAATTAAATACTTCCAAAAAGCTATAAAGGCTGTATCTCATCTACAAAATACAAGGTACTATTATTGATGATTGAGTATTAATATTAGAAAAAGAAAACTGAGTGGTTTAGATTTTTCCCCCTTGGACTCAATAACATGTGAAACTTAATAGTGAAATAAGATAAAAGACTTGATTGGAGATGAGAGGAGGCAGTTCATAGGACTCTCAGCTGTGTGAGTGTAGATGGTACCACTTTGATGTGGTTGTTATTCCCTAGGAGGATTCAACTCTGTTAGGTAATCTGACACTTGGCTGGCACTACGAAACAAAGTATTCTTAAATTATTGTCATAGTCCAGCTTTATTTCCTAGTTAAATAAAGAACGGTTTTATTAAGAGAGGGGTGTCTAGATGAAGTAGTCACAAAGCCCTTCCCAATAGAAAAAAAGTTTTTCCATAATACACATGCCTGTGACTCTTATTTATAAAGTCAAATTCTCCTAGGACACTAAACTCTTTTCCAGATGTAAATCAGTCAGCTTTCAAATCTTCTTTGGGACAGGAGATCCAATAGAAAAAAAGTTTTTCCATAATACACATGCCTGTGACTCTTATTTATAAAGTCAAATCCTCCTAGGACACTAAACTCTTTTCCAGATGTAAATCAGTCAGCTTTCAAATCTTCTTTGGGACAGGAGATACGACTGGCTCTCCCTCAGTTGAATATAGTACTGTCCAAAAATCAAGAGTTTAGAAAAAAAAATATGACTCCAATATAAATTTTATACATTGAAAATTCCTCTTCATACATATACACCCCAGTAAAACAAATTAAATACAATATATACAATGGGAAATAAAATCCTAGAATAGGTGTCAATGACATGGTTGTTTTCCAGAACTATTCTACCAACTTGTCCTCCTAGAGATTTTCTTCTCTTTATTTGAGATGAATCTGTGCTGGGTCTGCCTGTGGATCTTCCTCTTATGGAGTCTTCTGAGTGTAGAGAAAAGGAAGTCTGGTCCATGTCAGTCTCAGAGTCATAGTAACAACCATCAAAGGCCATAGTTTGAACTGTATCAATGTTGTACATCCCAGAAATCTGTTAAAAAGATTTTTTTTAGTAAGTCATAAATATGGTTTTATGAATAGGAATTACAATAAAAATGTAAGCAATCAGATTTTTAAAAATAGTTTAAATAAATGCTAAGAATGTTTTCTTTATTTGAGAGAATAAATTTCTGATTTTGCTTCTGGTGTCTGACTAAAAGTCATTTTAATAATAAATGGAAAACCTCATCTTACAGATACTGATTTAGTAGGGATCTAGCAAAGAAGTTTATATTTATTCCCATAGAGATATTTGAGCATCATACAAGTAAATTTACACATCTGTAATGTCAGTGTTTCCTAACTTAGTCCTGCTTGATAGATTGTTACACCCCATGTATGTTTTCCCTTTTGTTTCTGAGTAGTATAAATGGTTTGCCATAAGTTTGTGAATTGAAGCTGAAGATGATTTATCAGAACAGCAATATAAACCAATTGGACTTGCTTTTTAACTTATTTTTCCCTTTTAGAGAGAATATAGCAATATGCCTAGTCAGTGTGTTTCTTTGTCCAAAAACAGAGCTATATCACCTGGTGATCCATTTATGCTTAAATTGGGGATGGGATAGGGAATGATTTTTAACCTCTCTTTTTAAATGCAAGTTGGCCAGGGCTTCCCATTTTTGCTTAAAAGCACCTATAAATGATGCTAACATAGCTCAATTAAATAACATGAAATTGGTTTATTTTTCTGAAGGAGCAAATTTTCAATGCATTCTGGCTCCAGTGCCTGATTAAACTAAATTTTTCTTTAAGGTTTTACTCTGAGGGAGATAGTTCTCACTGGTATAGAGCAGTGCCTATGAAGCAGCTGTTACTAATTGCTTTTGGAGAAAACAAAATCACTTTTGATCTATATGGAAGTTAATAAAAATAAACATATATGGAGAGGCTACTACTGGAGAAAAGTATTCAGAATTCAAATTGGAGGCTTTTGAATAAATTCTGCCAAAATGTGTACTTGGTTCATAGTGATCTAAAAATCTAGTATTTTACTGAATTCAAAGACATGGAGACTATTTTGTGCAGCTGGTGAACTAGCCAGGGACTCATATTTGAGTTATGTTGTCCCTTTTTGTTTTAATTGTAGAAATTTTCTATGTAAAATGAAAATGGACAAAATAAACATGAAATGAGATCAAGACTGAATAACTTCAGATAGCCAATAATATTAATAATATATTCAACTCTGGATATGAAGATAGAATAAATATACACAGTCCCTTCAGTGGTCTCCCTGGCGACCCAGAACAGTACTGAGCCATGTCATCAGCCATCCACTTTTTTATCTTAACAAAACCATCGTTAGTGTGTTAAAGAAGACATATCTTCTTTAAAGAGCAAGGGTGCCATTTTCTTTCTCCATTATGATAATCTAGAACTATTTATATATTTGATCAAATCTTGCAATCCACAATCTGTCAATAGGCTGCTATTTTTCACAAGTTTATAAGTTGGCTGCCTCAATTGAAACAGTTCTAAAACTGGTCTTTAATTTTTCACTTCAGCCCACAAATAAGCACATAGCCAAGGCATAGTAGATCTAAACTATAGATTTGACTGTTTTAAACAAAATTTTAGGTCCTGGAATGAGAAAAATATTTGGATGAAGGGAGACTGTCCTTTCAGGGAGAGCCCTGAATTATCTAGCTTTGCTCATCACCCAGAGTACATATATTTAAGTCAGTGATGTAATATTGGTGAGCTGCTATAGATCTAAGCAATGTTCTCCAAACTGCTTTATCAGTAACAAAAGTAGCCTCATTGTATCCATTTTTCCGGCTGTCTCTCTAAAACTGTTTCCAACTCAGGTATAGAGGAGAGGTGTCATTGATTAGCCTCCAAGCCCACAGACATATCCTTGTACACTGCCCCTTGCTAGGACATCCTAGCCCTTCAAAGGCCTCTCATCTCAGTCAGCCTGTTTTTACTGTCCCTATTGAAACTCCTATTCCTTCAGAGTGGGTGCTCTGGGCACAAATCACAATAAGAACTTACATTTGGATAGCACTTTATATCTGCAAAGGTTTCAGAACCATTTATTATATCACTTGATCTTTACATCAGCCCTGTGAGGTAAACGGGGAAGAAATGACACCACTGTGCAGATGGAGAGGAGGTTTAGGAGATGCAGCCTGGAGCACAAAGCTAGGAAGTGGTGGGATTCAGTTTGCTATTCTTCCTTCTCTGACTCCAAATCACTTCTTCATTTCATCTTACAAATATATAAATGGCAAGTAGAACATTTCTTTGAGAAAACTGCATTTTTTATTTTTTTGAGATAATTGAGGTTACCGAGAATGGTGGCTTGGGGGCTTGGGGAGGAGGAAATGGGGAGTTTAATGGGTATAGAGTTTCAGTTTTGCAAGATGAAAAAGCTCTGGACATCGGTTGTACACAATGTGAATATACTTAACACTTTGAACTGTACACTTAAAAATAGTTGAGATGGTAAATTCTAAGTTATATGTACACACAACTAAAAATTTTTTAAAAAATTTAAAAAGAAGGATGCTTATTAACCCAAAAGAATCTCTTCATAGTGATACAGAAGAAGATTGTATATACCACCATCAAAAGGAAAAAAAAATCAGTGTGGGTGGTTGTTTTGTGTGGCAGGTGTGGTTGGGGAGATGTAGATATTTCAGAGTCAAAGTACTGATAAAGGTGGGCCAAAATGACTGCAGTGCCTATTTTTTTGATTAACTACTCCCCACATAAATACAAAACAAAACAAGAACAAAATTCTATTTTTCTTTACGCATTTTTTCCTGTCACACCACAGATTATCCAGACCATTGCTCTTCACAGTGTGGGTCATGGGCCAACAGTATCAGTATCACCTGGAGTTTGTTAGAAATGCAGAGTGCTGGGATTTACCCCAGACCTGCTGACTCAGAGTCTTAACATGAGCCCAGGTGATGCATGTGCATCGTGGTCACAGACTGGTCTAAAAGCCCCTGGTTTCCTCACCCCTGCATGGCATTCCCTGTGGGTATGTATGTGACAGGCACACGTAGCCACATGCTGTCAACAAAAGAAATTGAAGCATCTTCAATAAAATAAAATCAGCTCCTATTAGAGCTTTGACACAAAGGATAGAAAAGAAAAGAATGAGGTTAGCATTCCAGGAGATCTGAATTGCAAGTGCAGCTCTGTTGGCTTTGAAACTTTTGGCAAATCACCTTACTTCACTAAAACTCTGCTTCTTCATTTACGAAATAGAGATAATAGTTTCTGCTAAATCTACATTGGGGAGCTGATTTGAAGGTTTATTGAGAGAAGAGGATATAAAAACACTCTGAAAGGGGGCCGGCCCGGTGGCGCACTGCTGCAGTGTGCCGCTTGGGAGCGCGGCGGCCCTCCTGCCGAGGGTTCGGATCCCACATGCAGACCAGCTGCTCACTGGCTGAGCGAGGTGCGGGCGCAGCTCCAAGGGTTGCAATCCCGTTGCTGGTCCCGGTCCGGTACGGGTGCGACACTGAG